TTGGTTAGCGCAGCCGATGATACTTGAGACCGGACGGGTTGAGGAAAAGCCATCAAGGGGTAAGAAATGTAGCGGATGCCAACCAAACAGCGCAGCCGTAGTAAAGCTCGGCTACAAATGGTCGGCCGGCAAGAAGGCAAGCAAGTGTTTTAGACAGATACCTCATACGCCAAACACATGAGACATCCCAGAGAAAGTGGTGTTGGAATTGGTGATGAAACCACCCTTTTCCTAGGGGCGGCTCACCTCCGACTCCCATTTGATACAGTTTCTCTTCCTCGAAAGTTGACAGCTCCAATGGGGCGATTCACGGCGGGCCGCGGAGAGCATTCCTGTGTACAACAACTTCGTTGCAGATATGCATATGAGGAGGTCTTAGACAAACCTAACAATACTGTATCTTCATTTCCTCCCAGTAACGCAACCTTGACAGTAACCTCAATTGAAGACCGACTGATATAAATAATATGGCCACACAATTTCAAGTCTCGGAGATTGTGGTGGCCTTGATATACTAACACCTTTTCCACCAGGCCACTGACTCGTAACATAGCAGAGCAGGGGTCAAAGCGATTGTATACTATCGCCTATCAACAGCTACTGTGGCAACCCCCCGTTTCTTAAGTCTCCGAGAAGATTTTTTTCTGGCCAAAGCATATGCATATATGCAACAGATTCCGCTAAGGAGTCCAAATAGAGACGTCATGGAACCGCTTGCATTAATATACCATTCGAATAGCCCCGGCTTCGACCGGAGGGGTAAAACCATCTCATAATAGGAGTCTGCATTGTTCGCGAAGATAACTTGACCTCTGGAAACGAAGTCGGGGTTGAGTGTAGAGTCGCCGAGAGAGACGGGATGAGATCGTTTATGTCTATGATAGCGGACTCCCCATTTGGAACTGTCTACGGTCTTATAAGCATATATTTATGGAGGAAAAAAATTCATTCGTTTCGTATCATCGGTATATAGTGTTTGATTAATCACCTCCCGATGTGAACTTTTCACAACTTTCAACTCCATTCGACTTACGGATAATATCCATGTATTTAGCGATGAAGTTGACATTTTGGGCTTCTTCAGAGGGTCACAGCACTGTTGGATGGTCACGGGCCTGTCGGGGAGCATTCCAGTAGCGAAGTAACGTAGTGTTCTTCTCAGGGAAATATACATCAGCCTACCCGGGTAAAAGTCACCTTTGGGAGAGTCGTCGAGCCTTAAGAATACGAAACGGTCCCTGATAGAGTTGCGAAGAACGTCCAATAGAAGAAGTCAATGTTGTCACTACTGAAATAGTAATCAAATACATCATAGCCAATAGACGAGACAAGACACATAGTAAAACATAACAAGAAATATAGGAACTGGGCACTTCAGAGTCTTTTTGGTCGAAATAGCCAGTAGATAGAATTCGTTAATCAATCAACCGAGGCATGACTACCTCTGTGCGATTTGGAGCGGACTGATTCCGTTAGTACGTGTTCTTTGTAATGGGAATGTTTCCCCTTTTAAGCTCCGCCATCGTGGAGTCAGCTCCCGCCGCCTTTTGTCTCTTGCCACCATCGTCTGAGTGGCCGGCCCTCAAGGATTGCTCAGGCTTTCCTTGAGTAATTTTCTTTTTCTCGCCATCCCACCCTTTCCTGCTCCTTTATTGCCCTAAAACTCGTAGTTTAGATTGATTTTTCATGTATTTACTATTAGTTTGGCATGCTGTTGGGGATCGCTCATGTCCCCATCAGCATGTTCTGTGCAATGGAGCCTGTGGCCCTGGATTCGCGTCCACCGGGGTCCACTCACCCAAACATGGACAAAGACAAAGACTGCGATTCTGTAAGCGCCCGTTAGAGAGAAGCGATTATATTGGGAGTCCCGCTTGGTGTTTCGGTCTTCCTTTTAATGTATATTCAACAAGCAGGTGTATAACGTATTCGGCGTTTGGCCCGGAAATACCCATTAATGTACTGCGATAGTGTCTGGTTCAACACAGATATCATCACCATTTGTGGGGGATCCAGACCACCGCTACAGTTTGTGAATGCGGCAGAGCTTTCGCGATGCCGAACGCACCCCCTCTAATGAGCCTCGATCCTTTGGATACCCATTGCCATGTCTCATCGTACTGGCGACTTCCTGAGACCTCTGGTTATATCTGGCCCTTCTGGAACAGGAAAAAGCACTCTCATATCTCGTCTCATGTCAGAACACCCAGACAAGTTTGGTCTCGCTGTCTCTTGTTTGTAATATTGCAGCGACCACTCGCGATCGATTCGATTGATCCTTAACAGATACAACACGCAAACCTCGTCATGGTGAAGTAGAGGGGAAGCATTACTATTTTGTTTCTCGCGAAAATTTCAGAAGTCTTGTTGAACAACGCGCCCTCATTGAGCACGCCCAATTTTCTGGAAATTTTTACGGGACAGGTGTCACAGCCGTCAAGAATGTGGCTGCTTCCGGTCGGCGATGCCTGTTGGACATTGATAGCCAGGTCTGTTTAGAGATAGCCTGACATGCCTGCCGACATTTTGTCTAACTGTGTATTTATGTCCCAGGGCGTTCGACAAATTAAGGCAAATAAGGATCTTAATCCTGTCTATCTCTTCCTCGTCCCCCCAACTTGGGCCCTATTGCGTGAGTGGTTAACCGAGAGAGGTACCGAGACGGAAATGTCAATCCAGTGGCGCCTGCAGGCGGCGAGGAGAGAAGTGGAATATGCAAGGACCCCCGGCGTTCATGATATTGTTATCGTCAATGATGACTTTGAAAGGAAGTACAAGGCATGGGAGAAAGTTGCACTGGGAGATTCGAGCAAAGTGGATGAGCTCCCGCCGTTGGACGACTTTGAAAGTCTAGCAGAAAGTAAAGTTGAGGACAATACCAAGGCGGATGGTGAGAGTAAATAGGTAGACTATGCAGCGGTCATTGCGATCTCCTCGATCATTTTTGAATCCGGACCTTAAAATTGCTGACTACCCTTGCGACCGATATCAATAGAAGATTCATTTATCCTGTCTGTTACAGGCCGAGTGAGGCTGTACTATCAACAGCCTTTCAGTGCAGAGACTTGATATCCTATTGAAGGGACGAATGTGTAATGCCGTGCTATCGAAGTGCCACAAATGTTTTTTTCAACTGATGACAAAAGGACACACAGCGACTTGTTACAAAGCAAACTCTCTTGGGATGGAGTGGATTTGGCGTAAGTGCCATTATTGAACTCTCGACAACTGAAATATCAAGCAGCAATTATTCGATGCGTATGCTCATACACTTACTCACAGACTTGCCCCGCTGAGGTTACCGACGAGTACGTATAATATTGAATGTATAGTACAGCTAGTGGAGGGTATTTCTCCAAGACTAAGTTTTATATCTCTAAGTGGCGGTTAGCAGTCTCTCAGCACTTCTGGGGATGTAATCTTACTTTAGTGTGGACACCCTGATGCGGGCTATACATGCCAGTCAACAAAATCGTCCACGCTGACTCTGGAAAGGATCGCTCAGGCTCAAAGTAAAAAAAAAGTACCACGTACTAGCAGCCAATTTCGTTGTGATTGCGACAGCAAAATCATCGTTTACTCTTTCACTGGCGTGTCAATTCGGAGATCATGATGTAATTGAATACCAGTGAAGACACCTATCATCATGCTTCTGCCCAATATCTGGGTAAACAGGTCCTACAACGACTTTTCTAAGTGCTAAGATCTACCTGAGTGAGGAGGAACCTGATCGATTCTTGAGTATGTTGATAACTGCTGTGACGATATCTTAAGCGAGTAAGTATAAGGCGGGACGGAAGTACTGTTATGATTGGGAACAAATTCACTATGTGCTAGTTTCATCGACCATGGTAGCCAATCGGACTAACTTTATAAACCCCTTACGAGGCTTGTTATGAGACTGACAAGGGCAATATCAACGGAGTCATCTTCCCCCAGAATTCCAGCTGTTTTGGAGCAGTATTTCAAAAGTTTAGTCTGCTGCCATACAATACTATAATACATCTCCATCAACTCAGAAACTTGTTCGGATAATTCTTGAATAATCCACTGATGGGCGTGAGCTGCCTCGACAGCCTTGCGGAACCACGGATCATATTTCGCGTATTCCAGGTATATCACCGCCTCGCTAATAATGTCATCGTAGGCCAATGAATATTGGATACTTTCTCTGTAGAGGGGGAGACTATTATTCTCATGTTTCGGCTCCGTTGTGACAGATATGGCTGACGAAGTTGGCCAGACTGCCCATTTGGATCGCGTGTTCACTAAATTCGGCAAGGACTCACACACCTCTAGTGCCAACGGTTTGACAGCGAGTGGTCCTTTGAGTTCCTCTATAATCACATTAAAACTCTCTGAAGGGTGACGGTTTTGTAGATGTGGACCATATATTAATCGTTGGCAGAAAAATGAGATTAGCATGATAGCAGCGTCAGTACCTATGTATGTTCAAAGGGGCCATGGTAAGAAGATGCAGAAGCTCATCCCAAAAGCCCTGTGTAGTTTTATCGCAGGTAGGAAGAGGCATACTTTAAAAGACAGGTAATAGGTCGGAAAGGATCAAGAGGCATGGCTCAAAAACATATCACAACCACATGTTACAAATGTATTTTAAAGCCAGCTTTCCATGTCCCCGGGAATAGCCGTTTCTAGATAGCTTATTATCTGAATTCCACATTTGCAGCTTGAAGAATTGACATACTGTGTAAATTTCAATGACATTGCCAGCATTTTTAGTGCATCTTGTTTTGTCATATTATTGGAGGGCCTGGGTACTTGTCAATGTGACTGATCCCATGAAAACACTTTGTGTAATAGAAATCTCCCATTATCACTTTACTGTTAGAATTGGAAATACAATGGCTATCTGGCTGTATTTGTGTGCATGGTAGGTATAGTGGACAAGTCTGGATGATAAAGAGCCAGAGAGGACCTATATTTGCGTATGATACAGTTGATGCTATATATATAATCTATCATATAACACTAGACCATGAGGTCCAGTAGCTCAGTGGTTAGAGCACCAGTATATATAACCTGGAGGTCCTTGGTTCCCAGGGTCAATTCTTTTCTATACCTTTAACATTTACAACCATCAACAAATGTGTTGCTGTCCCTGTGGCACCAGGATCAAAGAAAGACGACATAGGTGCTCTCTATTCCATCAAAGCAGTAAGTTCACAGCCGTTCAAGTGCCTTGCCACCATAGTGTCCAGAGAAAATAGTAGATGGTGCATTCGAAATAGATTCTCGCACGGAGGCCGTCTGCACTATGAAGAGATATCTAAAGCGGGACCCGTTGCTATGATGGCGCAAAGGATACTGCTCGGGAGCGTGCTCTAGACGCCATAACTTCACGGGGAGCCGATTGATAGACACAACTCCTTCGCACTGACCAGCTAATTAAATTACTCAGTCTTCGGGAGTCAAGGGGTACAGATGTTCTACCCAGACAGAAATGCCTCCTCCATACGGTGAAGATGCTATCCGTCGTCTATGGGTATACAAGCTTCTCTGGAGTGTCCGGGATCGTCGCATTTCCATTTATTTTTGAGCTTTTTTTAAAGTGAAGTTTTTGCTCCTGTTCAAAGGGTAGCCTTGGTGCCACGGGAAGGCCTGAATCCATAGTTACAGTGTTGCATCTCACAGCCACGCTTGCCTAAGTTTGTATGCTTCTCCATGGCCGCAGCGAAGTCGCTTAGCTGGTATTATGGTGTGTTATGCTGTACAACAGATCTGTCCTCGAGAGGTTTGTAAGTCTAGCGAACAAGGATGTCCACACAACTAACCAATCACTACCCCAGAGGGGAGTGCCACTGTACCATTCCCGAACACATGCCAGTGAGCGCGTCATATACAATGTAGTACTGGAAATATTGAGGTGTTCATGCAATGGCCAACATCCTGATAGCAACGGCACACAGGTGCACCATTCCAAAGAAGATGGTTCTTAATTTAAAAACCACTATCGGTTGGAATGTACTCATAAAATGAATTTTCTCGCATGAATGATTATAGTTATTCCAGCCTCAATTTTTGTGGAACCTGAACCTCGAAAAAATTCGTGAAAAGGGTGGGTAATAGGGTAGCGTTAGCACTGCCGAAGGGGCCAGTAGCAGATCCATGACCGTTGGGAAGAGCAGGGTTTCTTCACGTGTGCACAGCTGTTCTCACTTGGTTGTTTATAAACAAACATATTCACTAATAGAGAGTATTTGCAACTAATGTATATTAGCAAACTGAATGGTGTTCCTGATATGAATATCAGGAACTAATTCAGTTTGCGAATATTTCATTAGTTACAAATACTCTCTATTATACTCATAAAGAAATTTCCTCGCAAAAGAGTCATATCCACGTAACAGTAGATAGGACTACCGGGTTATAAAATGAAGATCATCATCTATAGAATAGATCATGGTTAGTCAAGATAAAAGTCCCTTTACGGTATGGTAATAGAGCTTCGTCTCTAGCGTTCAAGATCAATTGATATCGATGAAAGGGACGATACACTTAATGCTCATATAATGGAGAAGAAAAGACATATCATAAAGCCTGGTCTTATTTTTTCGCTATAAGCGCAGCATGCATCAGACTTCCATAGCCCGACACTCCCCTCCTCCACCATCATCCACTAGAACAACATCAAATCCCGCGTCTATGCAACAAGGGTCGACGCGGTAGCAGCGTCATACTTGAAGGTCGGGGGGATCTGCTGCTTGGTCTTGTAATATCTAGCCAAACGGTGGATACGCGACTCGATGAGAATAAGGCGGAACTTGGAGTCTTTGTCTTTGCGGTTGACCTCGAGATGTTTGCGGACAGCGACGGCCTTTTTGACGAGGTGCCAGAGGTCTTCAGGGATCGATGGCGCGAGGCCTGTGGAGGTGGTGCAACTTATAAATCCGTGTCGCAAGGAGTGGAATGATCAGGGTAGCGACACGCACCGTTCGACTTTAAGATCCTGAGAATTTTGTTTCCGGTGAGGAATCTAACCTGGGGGACACCGTGCGAGTCACGAAGAGTGACACCGATTTGGGAGGGTGTAAGGCCCTTGCGGGCGAGTTTGATGATGTGCTCGATGACATCTTCGGGGGTGGTCTTAAGCCATGTCGGGGGAGCACGGCGATAGGGGAGGGCGGAGGACGCTGGAGGGCGTATGTTAGAGGGAAATACATAGTAATTTTAACAACCAAGTCAGCGTACAAATGCCCTTTCCGGGAGCGTGCATACGACCCATGATGAACTACGAAGTATACGTCAGGAACTAGAGTAATTCGTTAAAGACGTAAATTTGTTCTCACTTAAATTGAAGGTGCCGGAAAGTCTTGAGCTTTGAGGAAGAGGAGTACGAGAGTCGTTAAGAAAATCAAACTCCGAAGTGAGGTAAGCAACTGTACAGTTTTGCAATATTCAGACTCCGCTAACCTTTCCTCCTCCTCCTCAAGCTCTCAACGAACCGCGCGTCCGGTGACCGTACGGTGTTTCCTTCCTTTTTTCTTCAAGGTAAGTCTTCAGGAGTAACGTGAAGGATTATAGGCTGATCTTCGAATAGCATGAAACTCAACATTGCAAGTATGTTAATCATGTTTGTCGTGGTTGTAGTCTTCCTAACGCCATGACTTCTAACTAGACCCCGCAACCGGGGAACAAAAGACAGTCGAGATTGATGACGAGCGTCGTGTGTATGTATACCATGCACTCAACGTTGTGATGACACTAATATCGTATAGCCGTATCTTCTACGACAAAAAGATTTCCCAAGAAGTCCCTGCCGACTCCCTTGGGGACGAATTCAAAGGCTACGTATTCCGTATCACAGGTGGCAATGACAAGCAGGGTTTCCCCATGAAGCAAGGCATCCTCCTCCCGTACCGAGTGAAGCTCCTCCTTTCCGACGGCCACAGCTGCTACCGCCCCCGCCGCACAGGTGAGCGCAAGCGCAAATCCGTCCGTGGCTGCATCGTAGGCGCCGACATTGCCGTCCTCTCCCTCGTCATTGTCAAGCAGGGCGAGAACTCCCTCCCGGGGTTGACGGAGACCGTGCTGCCGAAGAGGTTGGGCCCAAAGAGAGCGACGAAGATCAGGCGGTTTTTCAATCTGTCGAAGGAGGATGATGTGAGGAAGTACGTTATTAGGAGGGAGGTAAAGAGCTCCAAGAAGCCGGATGCGAAGCCATATACCAAGGCGTGAGTCTACTCCGTGGAGGCGTTTTCGTTTGTGTTAAGCTTAACCCGTCACTTGATAGTCCCAAAATCCAACGTCTCGTTACCCCCATCCGTCTCCAACGCCGTCGTCATCTCCGCAGCCTTAACCGCAGGCGGGTGGACCGTCAAAAGGAGCAGAAGGCTGAATACGAGTACGTCTATGCTACCGCACTTGATCTTAAATTCAACTTCCTCTAGAACTCTCGTTGCTAAACGTGCTGGGGAGAAGAAGCAAAAAGTCGCCGCCGTCAAGGCTTCTCACAAGGCTGTCGCAAAGTACGTATAATCACAATCTCTCGTGATTCTACCATCCTACGTTATTCCTCCGTGTCACGTCCTTACTGACACAACTACATAGGGTCGTCGCCGCATAAACACAAACACAAGCATGATCCCCGCCACTACCCATATGGTACTGCGACACGAGGATGAGGAGCTCTGGCACTGATTCCATTTTTTCACATGCATGCGATATGTTTCTGTTTCTGCCTGTCTTTCTATTGCCATATGCTCCTGTTTCGGTAGAAAGCAAAATAGATGGTTTTCCGCCGTCAGTTTTATGGATGAGCCTGTGTGATATTGTTTGTTTGTAATGAAATATGAACTGCATAACTTCGGGAAACGAATGTAACGAATGAAGTGTCTAATATCCATCTACTTATAAGAACAAGGATAAATTGGTGTTTTACTTTCAAAATGAGGCCCCAAGCGGAGGAAATAAAACCACTTGTTATCCAGATGCAAGATATAGTCTACTACTTCTTGACAGGCTTTTGGGGCCTCGTAGGTTTTGGCGGAGAGACTTTTGGGTCAGTAGGATGATCGCCGGATGGGAGGTTGTTCATGATACTGTTTGATATTTAAGTTCGTTTTGTTATCGCAATCCAAAATATTTCTCATACACTTCATGTTTGGGCCTACCCTCATGCCCGTCACTGCACCCAGTGTCGCAAAGGCGACGGATGGTGACACGCGGAACATTGCTTGAAGGTTGATAGGAGTTCGACCTGTAATTTCAAAACATGAATTGTCAGAGGTGTTGTGTAAGCCACAATGCGCATGCAGAATCCTCCAAAAATTCTTTCGAATTTGAAATGCGCGAAGTAGTTGAAGGATTTGGGGGGGAAAAGGGGGGGGCACACGTACCGATTGTCAGGTGGTGGTAGGACACGCAGTTTGAGGTCTTTCATGGTACGTGCGGTAAAGCTAGGATGGATTTATGAGCGGCATACAATGAAGTAAGGAGAGGTATTCTTACGATGCCATAATCAAAGTCGAAGGAGTTGGGGAAGGTTGGGTTAAAAGTAGGGGTTCCGCTCCCTTTTATGGCACATAGCTACATGGACGGGCAGATGATACGGCGAACGAGTACTTTTCTGATGTGTTTTAAGATCTGACCTCGTTTTAATTGGGGCTCTAGTCACATGCTGACTAAACATACGGGTGGCAAGTTACAATTTAGACGTCCGCCTCGTCATTGAAGCCCGCCAATCACATGTCGAAGGTATTATTTCTGCCAAACGATGTGAGTGATTGGCGGAGTTTATATAAAATAAGCTTCTACCGCGTAGTAAATCATAACACGCACAGCCTCGTGATAGGTGCTGTGCTGTCCCTTATTAGGACGAAGCATTATGTAAACACTCACCATCCTAACTTACACAAGACAACAATTTAGAAACCCCGGATATTCACGCAGATACAATAACATGGTTATCACACTGTGTCTGACTATATCCAAACTGTACAAGTTTTCAACGAACCCAATCCCGGCTTCCTGAAACCGCCTACCTTCCAACCTAGCCACCCCGCGCCAAAGTCAACTGCGGGGCGATCCCTGACCCAAAAAGGATATTTCAA